TAGCGTGCAGCTGGGAGAGGTGCGAGGCCGCGACCGGCCTTCGGGTCACCCCGGGGGCCCGGCCTGCCGAGCGGGGCGCCTCCGGGTCAGACTTCAAAGGCGGGGTCCCTGGAGCCCCGAGCCCACTCTCCCGCCGGCGCTGCGCGGGCGCCCCCGCTTCTGCTGGGGGCCGGGGCTGGCAGGCCCGCCAGGGAGGGCGCGGCGAGCGGGAAAAGGAGGGGCGCTGAATTTCTGTCCCGCAGACTGCAGATCTTTTAGAACGGGGACCCCGATTGTGTGGCAGACGTGCGGCAGGCGCCGGGTGAGTTAGATGACGTGCGGACCGCTGCTGTGCGGAAGGGGAGCACAGTGCGGCGCGCGCGTCTGTCTCTCCGCTGTGCGGACGCGGTGCTTTCCTCGCACAGACCCGACGGGGCACTGCCCGGGACTGGGTCTCGGCGAGCCGTGGCGAGAGGGCGCCCCACGCCCAGGGCAGTGTAAGGGCAGCTGCGCAGAGTCTGGGCCCCTTCCTCTGCTGAGACACTCGCGCTGCGCCCGCAACGAAAGGAGGAGAGGTTTATTCGGGTTATGTTTTCAGCCCACGGTGGGCTGGCTCCCGGGTGGAAGGGCCTGGCACAAGGCCGGGAGGCAGAGATGAGGAGATGGACGCCCCCAGGTCATCGCCCCAGGGCCCGCCTCTTCCCTCACACCGGCTCCCAACCTCCAGTTAGGCGGACCCCCCGCCCCCCGCCCCATGTGCGCGTGAGCCCTTTGGGAACATCTTTTATGTAAACCATGCCGCTTTGTCGTAGTAACAAGACCACACTGTCGAATGTTAAGTATTTTTATTTTAGATTTTATAAATGCTTATGTTGTAAACTCAGTACATTAAATTGTAAGAACGTGAACCTTAATGGGTAGATGTGTTACTTTGAACACAAAAGCGTGAAATCATATGGTCCGACATATTTGTTCAAGGAAATGCGTTTGGGACGAAATCACTGATTATTCAGCCAGCCTTGAATCTTTTTGTTATTGTTGTTGGTTGGTTGGTTGTTTTTGGTGGTACTGGGGATTGAACCCAGGGGCACTCTACACTGCATTACATCCCTAGCCCTTTTTATTTTTCAATGTAGGGCCTCACTAAGTTGCCCAGGCTGGGTTCAGACTTGAGAATCTCCAGTCTCAGCCTCCCAGAGTGCTAGAATTCGGGTGTGCACCACAATACAAAGCTTGAAATTACTACCCCACCTCTTTTTGGAGAGGACACAGGTAAGCATATTTAATAAAAATACAACCTAATTACTTTTAGCCAAAGGAGTCTATTTCAGTATGTCAGTAATGTACGACCTTCAGGTTCTGGCTGGCCTTGAACTCACAGTAATGCCTCAGCCTCCTGAGTGCAGGGGTTATAGGCATACACTGCCATGCCTGGCTTGCTCTTATCTTTCAGAATTTGTTTGAAAATAGTTTCTCCCTAATAGAGTTGCTAAGGAATTAGATTACCTTTTTAACTAAATGCCCAGCAGTATGCTAGGAAATAATCTAAAAATCAGGATGCCAGTAGTTCTTTGGGAGGTAGGGGTGGGGAGACAAGGTTGAACCCAGTACCTTTACACTGAGACAGGATCTTCCTAATTTGCCCAGGCTGGACTTGAACTTGTGATCCGCCCGCCTTGGTCTCACAGAATGCAGGAATTACAGGTGTGCACCACTATGCCCAGCATGCCTCTAACAACCAGTGCATTGTCTGCTGGGAGACAGACATTTACCCAACTCCAATAAATATGCCAAATGCTAAAAAAGACATATGACTAATGGAATTTTAGTGGGAAATATTTAACCAAGGAAGTGAAGCGGGATAGAGCAAAGAAGAAATTCCAGGTATGGGAACAGTGAGCAAAGATGAGGTCCAAGGACGAGGATGCTGTGGAAAGCGTTATCATAACAGAATGGTCAGAACATGGCACTTAAATGACACATTCCCATTTATTAGCTTTGTGACATCAATCCAGTTAGTCTTTCATCCTCCTATTTTTTTCCTATTGTGAAATAAGGCAGTGGTAGTCCTTGTGAAGGCCATCATCTCCCAGTAGTATGGAATCCATTCTGCTTTTCAGTGGAATCCCAAATTATTTGGAGAGATTGTCCAATAAATG